TACAGTGAGTCACGTAACTCAGACCACAACGTGCGCAAGACCACTGTTCAGGTCACGGGCTCTGGTACGTCCGCCTCCGGCGACAATAGAGACCCCCTCAGATATTTTTGTTGGAGAAGCCACAAAACTCGGAGTATGAGTAAATGGGAAGCGAGACACTACTTGATTAGAACACACACAAAGTTCTATCTGTTCTAACACAAACACTGTGGGATGAAAACATTTAGCACTTGAGCAAGCACCTGTCTTTCACAATAAGTGATTTTCTGCTGGACTGTCACTGCTGATTGAAACTGGGGAAAAATACACAACGCTTTTGGAACTTTGGATTGACAAGTTTTCACAAACTTACAAACACATGTAACAACTTAAAATTGTAAATGGCTTATGAATAGACACAGTGACCTTAGTTTGATGGTTCGCAACATGTCGTGTGTGGGTAGGTGTGAGGGAGGAAAGGTTTCGAGTAAGGTTGTATATCTGAATGTCAAACACAGCACTAACATTTCAATTTGATTTTTTAAAAGTCGGTGGTAAGTCCATTTCAGTGTTGTTCATCCACTATACGGCGCTCATAAGAGAGACACCTTCAGCCTCTTCTCCGTTCCAGTCTCTCACCGCGTTGCGATGTTTGTTAATGTAATTGTCTTTACAATCGGGCAACAATGATTACATAAACGAACAACAGCTTCCACAGCTATAGTTGTGGCACAGCCCTGGTGTTTCAGCGGGAGCTTCGGGCAATGTCTGGTTAAGTGTCTTGCCCAAGGATACAATGACAGCAGACAATAGTGGGAGCAGTGAGTGGTGAGTTCGAACCTACGACCTTCAGGCCCAAAGGCCAATGCTCTACCAACTGATCTACTGTCGCCCTCGTTTTGTGTCATACGTCGTGTGTTATGTGTGGTATCCGTCATGTCGACTTTAGCAAACTCTGGACAAAATACTATTGTGAGTGAGAGAGTGTGTGGTGAACAAGTGAGGAACTAATAGAATAACAAGTGTTTTTTTTGTAAGTACTGGAGATTTAAACATCTCCTCTGTCATGAAAGTACCTGGATTATCCTCAGCTGATCCGTCCTGACAACAACACACTCCAACAGCAGTGAGCTGCTATTGGTTGAAAGACACCTTGGTTTGAAACACAGTTGGTTTGGTCTAAACTTGAAACATACATTTGGTTAAGTCTGTATTTGCCTCGCCCTGATGTCACATGAGTCTGTCAATCCCGTTACTCATGTTTGGCCATTGGAACAATCCCACATCCCTGCCAGGGAGGTGGGATCAATTGGGATTGTTTTGTTGTAATTTATTTTTTCAGATCATAAGAAAGCCACACCTTCCACTTGTTGCTGTGATGGGTCATTTAGGAGGAAGTGGAACAGCCCCTAAAAGTTGGTGGCAGGACCCACGGACTGACCAACTGGAGGAAGATTCGCCCGAGATCTGTTGTCTACACAAATGCACTTACACTTAATTTATGACAAGAGATCATGTCCTTTGTCAAAAAAGGGGGAGGTTATGGACTGTGTTGATAGGTGTGGTAGTGGTAAAAAGGGGGAGGTAAAAGACTTTAATATGTATTGTTGTGGGTTAGGATTCTGACCTGGGAAATATTAGTAAAGGATGCAACTAAAAGACAGTAAAAAATTGGCTTGAAATGAATTAATTCAAAGGCTAAAAAGAACCACAGGACAGAGTCGTGTTAAGGCCGTAACCCCCAGCATTATGGAGTCATATATAAATATTGTAAAACATATTTTTACAAAGATAAATATAATGGAAAGTACAGCCGAGCGTAAGGCCGTGGGCAGTCGTAGTAAGGCCTTTGGCCAGAGGGATCAGAGGGATAGCGTAGATGTAAATTTGTCAAATAACCCAGTGAAAATATGTTTTTATCATGGAAACTAATGAATGGACAATATCACATTATTAAGAAACAAGGTGAGTGTGTTAAATAAAGTTTCTTTTTGAATTTGATGTTTCTGTTTTCAGTGCTCCTCGGGTTAGAAATCATGTTAGTGCAATTATGACAGAGCGTATTAATAACACTGACTGTATTATGCCTGTCATGAAGACATGTTTCTGTAATGTTACAAATGAATGATATACATACAGTTCTTTGGACGAGGACTGGAGGCAATTTTCAAGACCTTTGGACAGAAGATGCACTTAGATGGATTATTCAATTAGCTTGTTTCAAGGACAAGGATGCTGTTGCGGCTGTTCCATCAGGAGAGATCTGACTGTTCCATCAGGAGTGAGCCAACATAAGGACAAACGCAGGAGAATGTTAAGAGTGAGAGCACTCTGATAAGTGAGGAGTCTAGATCTTTCGGTGAGTGATGCCAGAATGACAGGTCCTGACAATATGATCGTATCTGAAATAGGCATGACAGTGTATTTACCCACATCACTCTGGCCTGTGGGGCACACAATTGGCACTTTTCAAAGTTATAAAGCAGCTAATTGAAACTGTGAATATGCATTTTTATTTAATGAATTGTTTTATGGTCATACAGTTTATTTATTTGTAACGGACAGTGCACATTAATCAACAAATGTCCATGTAAATATGCCGGATTTAACCATAGAGGCACGTTTCCATCTGCAGTTGTAATAGAAAAATATTCATATACACAATCATTATTAATATGCACAATAAATGACCATTTAAGGCCTCATGGGAAAAATAAACTTGCAACTGTCTGAGTGATAAAACATAGATCTCTGGCCGCTGTGTTCACAATGATCAACAAAATGACTAGGGTGAAAGGTGAGTTTAAAAACGAGTATAAAATGACACAGCAGCATGAAAGTTTCAGCGTGTGAAATACGGATCACCCACATTGGACTCTGGTGAAATAACCTGTGTGAATTATAATTGGGAAGTTGAATATTTAGAAAGATTCCTAAACAACTGGTGCAGAAGCAATTCAGAACAAAAATATAATGCAGATAAGGCATTGATGATTTAGGAAAGTCCTCCAAATAATCATAGTTCGAATGGGGGAAAATAACCATTATGGAGAAAATTAGACCAAACAGGGTGGATTCAATATTTTGTTCGAACCTTCTTGCATTTGTTCTCAGGAAAACAAAGACTCAGGCTGCTGGGGTGTGTGCCAGAGGGCAGATGAAATAGAACTGCCATAGTTAAAAGCTCTAAAAGTGTGAAAAGATATAGGAGTGAATTAATATATTCTGATTATTTAATGACTTCCTGAGTTGTAGAGTGAGGATGTGTTTAAAGCAAATTACAGATGCAAAACCGAGACCGGAGCCGTCTGTCCCTCCCCAAGCATTGGGGCGAGCAAACCCCGGATAAATGACGATGGACGGAGATTTCTACGAGATGACATTTCTGTGAAGTGACCTGTTAATTAGAGGTCAAAAGCGGGATTTGATGTGCATTTGTTAATAAAATCGTTTGTTGTTCATCAGTTCAGATTATCATTCGATGTTAACTGCGTTTTCAATTAAGCTAAAACCTGTCGTAAAAGACAGAAGACTACACTGAAAAGGAGTGTCTGCTGTTTGAGAAGATAAATGAGCATATTTGTGGGGGAGGGAAATAGATACATAAAGCCTAGCGTACATCGGACTGGCAACTGATTATATCCGTCGCATACGAGTTGCTGCCCCGCACACATCGACAATCTGACGAAAACGGGCAACTCCCAGTATCAGGCCAGTCTCGGGAATAACAGCGCGTACATCGACAGCAACTGGCCGTCAACTACAGTGTGTTTTCTGACATAAACTGTTGCGGGCTCGCAATACACACACGTTGTCGGAGCGGCGCATGGAGCGCGGACATCGGTCATATCTCCGAAAATGAGGACAACTAGTTGCCGAAAAGTAGAACACGGGCAACTGACTGAAACTGGAGACCGGCTGTTTATCTCCAGTTGTAAGAGCTCGTACATTGACCGATTTCGGCAACTGATCATCTCCATCATCTCCTCTCAGTTGCCAAAAGCCGCCTTGCAACTAGTTGTCCCCAGTTTCTCTGTCGATGTACCCTAGGCTTAAAGCCTAGCGTACAGTTTCAGTCAGTTGCCCGTGTTCTACTTTTCGGCAACTAGTTGTCCTCAGTTTCGGAGATATGACCGATGTGCGCGCTCCATGCGCCGCTCCGACAACGTGTGTGTATTGCGAGCCCGCAACAGTTTATGTCAGAAAACACACTGTAGTTGACGGCCAGTTGCTGTCGATGTACGCGCTGTTATTCCCGAGACTGGTCTGCTACTGGGAGTTGCCCATTTTCGTCAGATTGTCGATGTACGCTAGGCTTGAGAGCGAACTGAGGAGCGCCCTCAGAGCTCGGGTTTAGGACACAGGGACAGGGCAGGGGGAGATGATGTTATCAGCATTTATTGTGACAGACAAGTAAATGTTTGAACTTTGAATTTAACTTTTGGATTTCCTTGTTCTTCCCTCCTGGTCAAATGCAACAATTATGCAACAGTCCATAGGAGGCAGGATGATCAATGTCCATAGTAGAGGTATATAGATTCCTATGGGCAAAATGACTATCTCCACCTCAAAACCTGTGTCGAGACCATCCTGTTTGGAGTTTGCATGCTGTCCCCGTGTCTGTGCAGGTTTTATCTGGGTGCTCTGGTTTGCCCCACCTATTCAGTTGTTCAGGCTGAAGGAATGTGTGTGTGTGTGGTACAATGGGATGTTCATTATTGTTGCACTCTCACAACCAATGTGACCAATACATGTGAAAACTAGTGATAAAACCATATCACTTGACAGCCAGGAACTAGTGACATGGCTTTACATGGAGATCCATTGTTCATATCCATGCTTTAACATGTCAAAAGTGGGGTGGACTTATGAGCTTAAAGACACCAAGATCTTATATAAATACACAAAAATCGTTTGGATTGTAAATAAACTTTATAAATAGACACATGCGTTGATGGCACATTGTAGGGTTTATTATAGAGTTATTCGAAAGAAACAGGTATATAAAGATTGCCATGACGTCACAGATGACTCCTCCACAAGGAGACAGCAGGCGGCTCTTTCACTGAGGAGGAAAACAAAATTATTTTACATGTTTTTGAGAGCATAGAGGAAAAAATATAGCTAAGAGTACATCAAGAGTGTTGTGACCATGGTGTAAGTGGATTAAACACCTGGAGCACTGCGTTCTAGACTTTGCAACTGTGTGTTAAACCACACAACCGCACTATCTCGAGTGTTCCTTTCCTTAATAAACTGATTCATACCAAGACAGATCTTCCCATCCTTCTGCAGCTTTCTCAGATGATGGAGTAGGTTCACTTCAGCTGCTGCGTGCAAATACTCAGGAGTGTCCTACACACACAACATGAAGAGGACGAAAAGAACAGTTGTTTGAACCTTCCATAGACTTAACATGTGAGAGTTTAAAGGCCCTGTCCCAATTCTCACCCTTGCCCTTAAAAATCACACTTGCCCTAGATTTTGCGCGTGCCCACGGGGGTTGTATGGTGTCCCAATACTTAAGGAGAAGAGGCGAGGGCCTTCACACACCTAAAAACCACCCTTGATCCTATGATGCATTACGATAGCTGTTGGTAAAGCAGCTGTCGGGCAAAGCCGCGCCACAATGAAAGAAAACAACATGAAACACCCGGGTGCAAGTTTGTGCGGAACGGGAGGAAGCTCCTACGCGTGTGCAAGTCATTCAGAGTGCCGTATGGTGACGTTCGCTCCCGAAGCGGCCGCAGCGTGTGTCGTTCACTGAGGCTTCAGAGACGTGGATCCTTGTTATTATTATAGATCCATGATGTAGTTCAGAGCATCACTTTGACACAGTTTACTTTGTGATCCGCGAGACCGCGGCATGTATCTGTCTCCATGTGGTACGCGCGTGTCTGTCTGTGGTACGTCTCTGTCCGCGTATGTAAATGCGTCTGTCTGTGTCTGTGTGCGTGTCTGTCTGCCTCTATTGCCGCTTTTCCACAGTGTCAGTTCGGTTTGTTTCGGTACGGTACAGCGCGCTAATTTTGCATTTCCACTAGTGATAGTCCCGGAGTTTGCGTTACTTTTTCGCAACACCTCGACTGCGGTTCCATCCGTGCCGTACCGATACCATGACGTGACGTCGGCCGTCTGTCTTACACCGCCAATTGGTCAACGAGTGTCGTCACTGGAAGCGACATCTGACCCTTTGGGAAAAACAACTCAACTGCCATCTTTAAAACTGGCTGCTCTGCTCGGCTCTGCTTTGGCTACATTACGTCCTCTTCACTCCAGAAAAATGGAATCGCACAGAAAGCCCCAAAAGTCCTGGTCCAGGTCGGTGGACGAGGTCCACATGTTCCTCTCTTCAGGCCGAAAGAAAGAATTCAAAGGCAGCTCGAGGCTCAACACGGTTTTCAGGGAGTTCACCCAGCTCTGGATTTGTGACTAGTCTGTGGTAATCCTGGAAATAACTGGTTGGATACGTATCCCGTTGGCCCAAAGCTCTCACTGAAATGTATTTACCCGTGTAAATGTTTGATTGAGCTAGCTACATTTAGCTTCATTTAGCTATTGATAGCAAGCTAAGCTAACGTCCTTCCTGTGCTACTGTGCTTTATCCCGTATTATCTGCAGTATTTACGTGTTGTAATTCTGTTTTGTGCTTGTATTTAAGTTGTTGTGTGTGTATATATATATATATATATGAGAATCCATTCCCATAAGTGTGGCGATTACCAACGAGCAATGAGTGACCAGAGTACTTAACATTCTCCTCATCTGGACCTGGTCTCAGACATACGTACTTTTGACTTTGTAAACTGTTGGTTTTGCACTTTACTTTTGTAATAAATCTGTGATTGTATCCCAAGACTTTGTTTCATTCATTTATTATTATTATTGTAGCTGAGGTTTGGGTATCGGTTGTATGTCTGGTCTCGGAGTCTGCAGTACTGGACCCGAGTCCGGACTAGCCTAGCCTAGCCGCTCGCGGCTAGGGTGTTGTGGAGAATTTTAAAGCCGGATTTGGATACAAAAAGATTTCCCAAGCTTTAAACATCTCAAGGAGCACTGTGCAAGCAATTATATTGAAATGGAAGAAGTATCAAACCACTGCAAATCTACCAAGACCCGGCCGTCCCTCCAAACTTTCATCTCAAACAAGGAGCAGACTGATCAGAGATGCAGCCAAGAGGCCCATGATCACTCTGGATGAACTGCAGAATAACTACAGCTGAGGTGGGGATGGTGTGTTCATGGTGATGAGCTGTGTTGCTTTTACGCCAAACATATCGTATTGCATTGTGGCCAAAATGCAATACGATGTTAACAAATGTTATGTATAACCTATCACTCCGGTGTGCACCATCCCCAGTGTCAAATATGGTGGGGGGAGCATTATGCCATGGTGCTGCTTTTCTTCAGCGGGGACTGTGGAGGTTATAAAAATATAATCCAAATCCCTTCCAAAATATATTCATGTGTTAGAATGGCCCAGTCAAAGTCCAGACCTAAATCCAATAGGTCTTTCCAGACTGGAAAGACCTGAAAACTTCTGTTAACAAACACTCTCCATCTATTTTCATGCCCCATACCCCATACAGTCATACCCCAAAAGCCATGCTGCTGTTATTGCAGCAAAGAGGGGTTCAAAATATTAGGAGGGGCAGCTTCACTCTGGGCTGCTCCCTGGACTCTGTGGATGAGGTGAGGGACAGGAGGGTGCTAGTCAAAGTCACCTCTATCCACCCACATAAAGTGCACTTAACTGTTATATTCCAATGACAGGGCGGCACGGGCAAGTGCAGGGTGCAAAAAGTGCATCAGAGTACTTAAACAGACTAGTAAAAAACAATTTCTTTATCATAGTGAGGTTAAAGTGATAGTCTGGAACTCTAAATGAATTACAAATTTTAAGAATTTTACTAAATTGACCACCTGGCCTTAAATGTTGATCTAAAATAAGTAATTTTATGAATAATAATATTACAAGTAAGTCCCGCCTTCCCTTATCTTAGCTATAGCTCAAAATCCACGATGCTATCCACTTTAACCAAGTGATGCCAAGGACTCTCAATCATCACGCTCGTATATAATTCGAGATATATACTGTCGAACGAACTAATATATACTGTCGAACGAATATTAGACAGCCCTTAATATTCAAAGCTGTAAAGGGCATTATCTTTTTAAAATCATGTATATAAAATAGTTAGTTCCCAAAGGTTTTGCCCTGACATGGCTGGATGGGAAACAGCTAGGCTAGCTAACTAACTAGAACTCTCTGGAACTATAGGAAAAGTGAACAAAGAATTCTGAATGTTAAACTTAACCTAATAATCAGATCCGCTGCAAACGTGTCCTAAAATGTTCTAATAATCAATGTCAATAGTTATTTCCGGGTTTACCGCGATCGCTTATTGATGCATTAAAAAAGTTTTTTTGTCATGAAAACTTTAACAGATAATTGTATTAGCTATAGCTATTAGCTATTAGCTGTAGCTATTGTATTCTCCGAATAACATTTAAATGTGTTGATTGATTGATATTTGTGTTATCGATAGCTTCTCTTGCTCAGACAGAAGTAATAAGTAAGAGGCGCTGAAAGCCCATTGTGACGAAGTGTACAAACTACTATCTGGAGTAATCTTTGTAATTCAGGTGTCTAAAATACAAACACCAGACTATCACTGTAACTGTGTGGTAGGGGTGCACCAATACAATATTGTTGCGGGTTGTTGGATTTGGTATCGGTTTGATGATATCAGGTCAGTCGACGCTTTTTATTTCAACCCCTGTGCAATCAGGTCAAAATGACCCGGCACAGTGATTAAAAGCAGGAGAAAAATACTATAAATTAGGGTCAAAATGGGTCTAAATGACCCAGGTGCGGTTAAAGCTGGATTACCTGGCTTTATTTTTGTATTCATAAGGAAAATTCAAACCATATCCATGCAGTGCATTGGGATATACATCCTTTTGAAGAATAAGTAGCACTTGTTTGTACTGTAGTGTCATTTTACTTTAGATCGAATTTTCGCAACGCGGAAGAGAATTTATTTTGGAACCAGATTGTGACCAATCACTGGCCCCCACTTTCTCGTGGGCGCGCACAGACAGCTCAGGTAGACATGCATCATGGCAGAAGCGAAACTAAAACTTCCCGTGTCTTTGTTACCGGTTACTGCTTTTACAAACAGCCTTCCAAAAGAAAGTCTCTACAAGAACAGAGACCGGGAGGGAAGCACCCGGGAAGCGAGGCTGACGAGACTACTTTAGCACTGAGGCATACAATCAATTATCATACAATACAATTTTTTTGGGGCCAAAACAAGAGACGCACCCGCATATTATTATAGATCCATGATCCAGGAGCCGACCATCAGCTCCCTCATCAAGAAGGCCCAGCAGAGGATGTACTTCCTGCGGCAGCTCAGGAAAGCCAAGCTGCCTGCACAGATGTTGGTGCAGTTCTACACGGCCATCATCGAGTCCATCCTCACCTCCTCCATCACCGTGTGGTTCGCTGGAGCCACAGTCAGGGACAAACAGAGACTACAGTGCATTGTGCGCTCTGCAGAGGAAGTGATCGGCCGCAGCCTTCCATCGCTGCAGGACCTGTACGTCGCCCGAGCTCGAGGCCGGGCTGGTCGTAGCACAGCAGACCCCTCTCACCCTGCACATGGACTATTCCAACTACTCCCCTCAGGCAGGAGACTGCGGTCCATCAGGACTAGAACCTCCCGCCACAAGAACAGTTTCTTCCCCTCTGCTGTTGGACTCTTGAACACTTATTAACCTGTCCCCCCGCCCTTTATAAAGTCACTGTCACGTGTGTGAAATTAAATGAGACCCAAAATGCAAAACTGCAACAAATAATGGATTTAATAAAAAGCAAACACCAAAACTTCCAAAAACACAGGGAACGAGGACCGAACTAAAACAGACAAGGAATGACAATGATGGAACACACAGGGCTAAATACAAGACTAACGAGACACAGGTGAGACACATGAGGGCAAGGCTGGAGGGCAGGGCAGGTAATCACACAGGGAGAGCAACCAAAGCAGACACAGGGATATAACAAACTACAAAATAAAACAGGAAATGAATCTAAACCATGACAGTCACTTTACTGCCCATCATACGTCACTTTACTTCACTGTACTGCTATCACCTTACATTGTGTGCACCATGTGCACTTGTATATTGTAAATAGTAACTGTAACTCTATTTTAAATTTAAATGTATTCC